TCTTTCCCTGGCTTCCAGCTCATCTGTTTTTTGCCCCCAGATGTTAGTTTGAAGGCCAGGATCCCAAACTCAAAATACCGGAGTTCTTTTTAGAAATGTGACTGATCTAGAAATTCTGAAGATGTTACTTTCAGGGTCCAACATTTACAGGGGAAACCCCCTGTAATTTCACAAATTAAAGTAGTTCTCATAGAATCTGCGATCAGACATATAACCAGCACAGCAAAGAGAAGGTGAGAGAAGGAAGCACAACCTACCCTTGATAAGTAAATGGCATTTTTCTTTAAGGTCTGTCCCGTATTGGTTGATGCTACAACCACATGAGCACGAATCCTAAGATCACAATCAAGCGTGCTCACCTTTGTGTGAAACCTGGCAACTGTGCACCTGGGCAATTCTCAGGGAATGAAAAGCTAAGATGCTTCTGAGTCATCCCAGACTCTCCGATATGCTAGTCAAGTATTCCCCACCAGGCTTAGATGAGACCTCTGTTCCCACATGTCTCCCCAGCCTCAGGGCTACTGCTTAGCTTGAGACATTGAGAGCATGGTCCCACCACAGAGGATAGGCACAGCTTGTCCTCAGCACTTGGTGGTTTCTGGTGCTGGCTATGAAAAGGGTTTCTATGTCTGTGACTGCCTGTCTGCGAATGCCTGCAGCATTCCAGTATGTGCAATGAACGTCCAGAAAGGCAATGTAACTTGATGGAAAATCTATGCTGACCCTACAAAACTGCCTAATTCTGGGCAACTCTCAGGCACTGGAAAAATGAGGAAGGGTTAACAGGCACTCCTGTCAAATACAAAGAAAATGGGACATACAAGAACAAATGAAAAAACAGAAGACTGATTTCCAGCAACTGGTTATTTCATGTCTGGGGAGGTTGCTGTTGGATGATCAATGAAAAGCTAATACAGCAGAAAGCCAGAATGAAACAAGGCTGCTCTCCAGCTATGTCAGAGGAATCACTAATTACTGGCAGTGAAAGAGCAGCAGCGCTCCAATGATACTTTTTACATGGCATTTGCAAGTATTTGAAATAAGTTGTTTAGCTTTCATTTCACCTGGCTGTTCTACTTTTTACCATTGTACCTAGTGAAATACTCACGCTTGTGGTTTGTCATCCCCCTTCCCATGAAACAGTTATGGGTGACTGAGCACACTGCAAGTACAGGTGTGATGGCTTGCAGAGCCAACAGGCAATCATTAGCAATACCAGCAGGGCTGGTACAGTTTGGGGAGAGACAGCTTTAACCAAATCCAGCTTCCTGACGGCTTTTCACTAACTTTCCAGACAGATGCTTCCTTGAAGAAGCAGGATAGAGCAGAGGAGGTTGGGAGGGCATGAAGCAGCCTGCATGCGCCTTTGACATTAAGAAGTATGCTCAATTAGGAGTCTGAAGATCCTGTCTGATCATTAGCAGGGTTGCTGTGTTGGGTAATATACTGGGTTTGTGGCAAGGTTATGGTAGCGGGGGAGCTACAGGACTGATTTCAGTGAGAAGGTGCCAGAAGCTTCCCCCATGTCCAACAGAGCCAATGCCAGCCGGCCCCAAGACAGACCTGCTGCTGGCCAAGGCCGAGCCCATCAGTGATGGTGGTAGCACCTCTGGGGTAACAT